GATATGGGTAATCTCAGTCATGTATGCTATTCGACCCTTGAAAGCACTCTGCGCTTGTTCTTTTATATTTCTTGGGGAAAAAACTCATGCGGGGAGGGGGAGACTTATGTATCCCAAGTGTGAAGATGAGTGGATAGTTAATCTTAAATCTGGATTCACACTCACATATTTCTAGCTTATGGGCTCAGCGGGTAGGTATTTCCTGGAGGGATGTGGAATAATTGGGGCTAGCAAACGCAGTTATAGGGTATATAAGGCGTTGGAGGTGTTTAGATTGATGAACAAGCATGTTCTGCAAAACAGAATACTAGGCCTGACATGAATTATTCGAGCCTCAGTAGAGTGGATTTGGTTATGACAAAGTCTTAGAGTATGGTTCGTCAGTATTGAAGCGATATTAAAGGAGATTATCTTTTTGTCAACATTGAGTATAATAATTTATCATTGTTGTTATTCTTAATATTAAGTGTGAAAATCTAAATTCACAGGAAGTTGATGTAGAGTTGTCCTGATAAAATCTTAAAATTTTGATTCTTCAAATGCGGAAAAGGGTTCAAATTCGTCCTGCCTTCTCTTTCCTCATCGAACCGTGTAATGATGTGAAATGATATTTTGGTCATTAAGTTGAAGATTTCAGTTCCAGCTTTATATGTGTATAATTGCTGAAACGGGGCATAGTATAAAGAGTAAATATCGGAAGGGAGAGTGAATCATTAGCATCTGCTTCGGGGCATTAATTAGGGGAACTTGGCGGGCAAGATCTACTTTCTGTAAATGGAAAGCTCGTTAATCTAAGGAAGCACCTGCATCTGTATAAATCTTATGTAGATAAGTATTAATAAAAGATAAAGTTTGGTTTCGAAGTTCCGGGCTGAAAGTATGGTATGTTTATAGAAGCAATGGCACGGTCACATGTGAATATTTTTTTTGCAAAAACGAGTCCGTAACTTATTTATCTACTCCATAAAAGCTTACGGGATGCTCCATCGGATATGACATGACTCTTAGTGTAGTCGAAAATGATATAACTCATTTAACTTACAGCTACCAGCGTAAGTAATAGCAAACAGGGTATCAATAAATTCGGTGACGAGAAGAGCTAAACGACGGTATAGATGAGCGATTTTATGAGATGATAACGAATGCTATATCAATAAGCTATGAGAAGAAAGATGGAAGACCCGTTCTATAATTGAGAATAATCCAATAACCCGCTCTCCTTCTGAAAAAAGGAAGTCCTACTCGGATTCTTTGGAGATGGAAACTTACTCGAAGCTACAATGGCTCAAGACTCACTGAATAATTATAGTAACTAACACAATTCTTTGTCATGGTCATTCTGAGCGAAAAAGATTATAATTCACTGGAAACATCGGACAGTAGTCCTATTTCTGATCTATCTTCCCACATGGTGAATGAATCTAACAGGTGGTACGTTGATGTTGAATCAGGCGGGACAAAGAGCAGCATTGTAGCACTTGGAAATTATATAAAAGGGCACATCTACCACTATTCTAGAGACTAAGTAGCAAGAAGGATGAAAGAACCATCAAGTAGGCATTGTCAACAATTAATATCTCTGCATAAAGGAGGGGCGGGTTTGATACAAACCAATTTTGTTGGACTCTTACTTCAATTACCATGCCGATCTGAAATTTATTTTCTGGCAACAATTTGGAAGGAAAATGGACGACAGTAGATACGATTGTAAAAAATAATAGATGTTGTAATGCGTGACAGTGTAACTCGCGGAAGATCTATATGGGACGAGCAGCGGGCATTGAGTGTTGAGAAAATCGACGAATATAAGATCTTACTAATCTTGCCGTGGCTTCGGGAATCCAACTCCAGTATTTTATGACCCACATCATGAATATGCATAGTTTTGATGTGTCCTCGAGGCCATTTGAAGGTATACGAATACAACACTGCATTTCTTATATAAATACCCTGCAAATTATATTACGAGATTAGTTTGTGAGTGGATACTCGGGCGAAATATCCTACTATCCTTTATATCATATCGTATAGGTAAGAGACCATGTCCCCATAACCTTCTCATCCAAGTGGATGATGAATAGGCGGGTTAAATACGTCGACGTGGAGACACAGGAGCATAGTTCAATTGGTTAAATTGAATCAAGTAGAAATGCTAATGTATACTAGACGAGTTTAATACCTTGTCTATATTGAAATGATCAAAGATGTTGTCATCATGCTTTTCTACAACGCTCCTTGAAAAATAGATGATCTTAATTTAGGCTTATATTTTGAGGAAAGAGTTTAGTGCACGCTACCAAGATATTCAAGGGCTGTCTCCTCGGCCAGTGGACCTTCCTTATTCTTTATTTGTTGCTTTCTGGAGAAGTGGATAACAATAGTGAGATGGAAACTGACAATTAAATTTACGACGAAGCAATAAAGTACTGTGAAATATGGCCGATCCTGGCTATACTGCCCCTGCCACCGTACTGACTAACAGATGACTCCAGTGGTGAGTTGAGGCCTCAAGCTGCCTATTTAATTTGGGAATGGCATATATATATATTGCAAGGTATTTGTGCGTGAAGTAGTCCCCTTACATGAAGAACTGGAAACATAGGTATAGGAAAACTGTACTTCAGAAGTGACCGAAACCTCATGACCCCTAATAAGTGAACTATACGCCCTCTTCGAAGATCACCACCTTCTTCGACAGATACTTGCAATAACATGTAGGGAATGAAAATATAAATTCAGACTAGAGATATGTAGCCTCTGCTCTGAGATTAAAGTTGGCACTACACCTCCTGAAATGTAGTCTGTTGAGTAAGGTAAGCGAGAAAAAAGGATGAACTATCTTCGACGCGTCTGATACTCTTAATTTCTACCATTCGCGATGGTGAATAGTTTCTTCTAAGACATGCAACAAAACTCTTTGACTGAAATGGGTTAATGATGCTATGTAATTTGTATGTAAACACATCTTAGCAAGTGCTCTTACTTTCCACTTGCTCCAGCTCCAGTAACCATGAGGTCACCATTATAGTGGTTTTGCCTTTGACGCCCTGGACATTTAAAAAATCATGCTTTTGATGAGTTTTTACTAACCCATTGAGGGCACATTGGTGTTAGCTATGGATCTCGGGAGATCAAAATCTAGGTTTCGGTAGATAAGCAATAGCTAACACTTTATACTGCTCTTTGCCCTAAACAACCATTAGTACCAGATTAGGTAATTTAATAACATGCTCTAAAGACTTTAGACTCTTTATATCGGATGACACTACCGGATTTGTTTTCTCACTTGCTATAATATTTCAAAAGACCGTAAATAGTTTGATCGATAGATTAATACTCGAAACGGTTCGCTTCTCCCAAGGACTAGGATGCCCAAATTGAGATCGTTTACAACCCATACCCATTTTCATAGACCGTCGATCAGTCGTCTCCGTTTGCGGCGTGCGAAGAAGTCAAACAAATGTCACACTTGCAGCAACGTCTTAGCAATTAAGACAAGGAACCCATCATTATGGAGATCGCGTTAGCACTTTGCCCCGCTGATGTGAAGTTTGGACCCTGATTTTAGTCAGTTTTACCCCTCCACCAAGGATATCTGCCACTGGAACAGTACACCCACCATCCTCGTTTTCAGCGTTCAAATTCATTTATATTATGAACTCGGTTCGATTCTGCACTAACAGATCCATTGGAAGTTGATCCCTTCTAAAACAGGGTCAAAAATCGCGTTTCAAAAATACCTCTAACCGCCACTAAAGCCCCACTCACCGACAGAATTTTGATCCCACCCCTCCATGAACCACAGCTAAATCGCCTTGAGACCGTCATATATGCATTCGCCTTATCTCTTCATCATTAACCCTGGCTGTCATTCCTCATGATCATTCTTTTTCCTCCCGCCTCATTCTATTTCAGGTCGCGAATGCTCGGCCACCACACAAAAAGCAAAATCCTTGTATCCACAACCCATATCAACGCGCAATACAATTGTACAACGCACAAAACAGCGTCATAAGACACATAAGAATAATGAAACGTATAATTTTTTGTCCCACATTCTATGCAGGGTGAAAAATGCAAAAAAAATGCGCTTCATGCGAACCTTGCTCATGAACCCCACCATCAGCTGAACGAACATCTCGATCTAAGATAACTTAAAACTCATTAATTATTATTTGAGGATGGAGTAATCAAGTGAAATTCAATCTTTTCTGTCCACTTTAGTGTTTTGATATTTCAATATATTTTCTTTAATAATATTAATTTATATAAATGATTATAAAATTTATCAAAAGGTTAAAAAATTCTTTTTATCAAAAAAATTAAAAAAATTTAATCTTTATAAATAAATTTCAAAATATTAAAAAAATAAATTTGATTGTATTCTAAATATGTTTTATCATTTTATACTATTTTTAACTAAATTAAATCCCAATTAAAAGTATTATTGAAAAATCAATTTCAATAGCATTCAAGTGTTTTTGTGAAAGTACTTGAAATTTCAGGTTTTGGATACACGTCATGGAATCAAGTGTAAGTGCTTTGGAGTTCCATCCTATCTCCTCTTGTTCACTCATCGCCATTATTGGAAGATCAAGGTATCTGATCAACTCATCCACATCAGTACATCAACATATGCACATGGCATGGATATATGGATATATGGATATCACTGCCTCTTCAATCTCCTCGAATTCACGCCTCATTTTTCTAGCATGTATTCCTATTTACCCCACATGATAACGTTTTATGGATATACGCATTTGAGATTAGCTCTCTCGCTCCTATACTACGCCAATCTAGGTATGTTTTTAATCTACTAAAGTAGAATGAAAATACTGCTAGCTGTTTTCGTTCCTCGTTCCTAAGCGGGGACCGCTTCCGCGCTTCGGGTCTCCGAATTTTATACGCCGCTTGTCGATCGGTACATTTTGAGTGAAAGCCGGCGTCAATGGTGAGTTTATTTCAACGCGTAGATTTCAATGTGAGCAATTGTGCTCAGTTGGAAGGTTGATCATTCACTCAACTATTATGAGAAACACGAAAATTTAGGGCAGGAATTGGTTCATATATACTTTCCGCCAAAGAATGCAAAGATATGATACACGAATTGAGAAAAGAAACACCAGCTATAACTTTGCACGCTACGACTCTCACAAAATGCTATACCATCCACCAACTCTAATCACATAGCCTCTCCTCTATCACATAGATCTCCGAGTAAGATACTACAACACATCTAGTAGACTGGGATCTTGAAAGCATCAAGGGTGTAAATCCAGCTATCAACGGAACTTTGATCATATTCGCAGGACAAAGCACCCTCAGAATCCCAAATAGGTCTCAATGGGAAAGCGCAAAGCTTCTGAACTTCTCCTTCGTAAGTACCACTGCTGACAGTAGCATTAAGTCTTTCAGGCTCAATACCATTCTCAACCCAATCGATCATGGTAGCCATGTTGTCTGCTGGGTAAGGACCTGGTTGAAGAGTGTTGGTGCTGCAATGGGCGGCTCCTGGGATGAGGAACAGCTTGTACCATGCCTTGAGGGAGGTGATACTCTCGTTGAAGGATTGCTTAGGGTACATGATGGAGCGGACGGAATCGTAGTAGCGAACCGAAGAACTGGTTGGGATACTGTCATCGGATTCTCCGTGGTAGTGGATGAGCTTTCCTCCGGAAGATTGGAACTCAGAGATATCAGGAACGGTGGTTTGTAAACTGTCCATGTATCTGACCATTGCTTGTTGCATCCATCCTTGGAGGGTATCCATTGTAACGCCCTCAAGCGAAGCAAGGTTGTCGAGATCAACCAATTGGATGAACTTGGTTACGAATTCACCTCCGGTAGATGCAATATCAACTCCCCATGTACCAGTAGTGTTGTCATAGCTGGTGGTGGCATCTTGGAATGAACAAGCTGGTTGCCATGGAAGGTAGACACGCTCTCCTTTGGAGTTAAACATACCGTCGTAGAGTTGAGCAGCGAGAGCAGCTCCTTGAGCAGTGACAGTGCCATTTTGGGCAGGTGTACTAGCACTGGCCATGCCCATTTGTCTCTTAGCCTTTTGACCGAAAGCAAATCCAAGGGAGCTGCTACTTGAAGCTTCACAAGAATAAGCAGCGCCAATAGTGCTGTTCAAGTTAAAGTGCAACTTGCAAAGATCGGTACGAGATACGACGCCATCTGTACGGCCATCAAGGGGATCACAGGCAGCAATTGTCATGTTGACAATCTTGTCCATCTCACAAGGAGGTGGGAAGTAGTCCATCATGACCTCAGCAACGTTGGAAAACAAGTGGTTCTGGAAGAGATTAGCATCTGCTGTATGACAAGGCTCTATTGATCTCGAGTATAACTTACCACTTGTTGTTGTCCGTAACGGAAAGCTGGAGCACCAGTAATGGCACCATCGTACTCGGAACCATAACGTTGAATTTGGGACATGCCCTCACGTCCACCATCAGAGCATCCCTCGTAGTAGGTGTAGAGCTTTGAGCTGTTGTTACCGTAGAACAATGGAGTGATAGCCTTTCCAAGCTGAGTCATCTCACCAAGTGCTTGGTATGAGAACATGTAAACACTGTCCCAGTTGATGGATCCATTTCCAGTCAAGACAACTTCATCAACAGTTGTGCCACTAATGGCAGCATAACCTGCATCAGAGACTCCACTCACAGCACCATATGGCAAACCTCCGGTGGGATCAGCGTTGAGAGCGTATCCACCTCCGCCGCCAACATAGAAACGGTTCTTGTAGGTCTCTGGACTGGGAAAGTTGTACCAAGCGACGACTAAATCTTTTCCAGGATGAGCATAGGTGACGGTGACGTTGCAATAGTTGTAAGCGACGTTGGAAGATTTGCTAGTGGCGTTGTATACTGCGTTAGCAGTAACAGAAGTCGCAATTGGGTTGATGCCGTTCAAGGTTCCGTTTGCTGGTAAAGCAGCTTGAACATTGGAAACAGTGCAGACATCGGCAAGGGAGGCGGCATTTGCTGTAGAAGCAGCGAGAGCTGCAACAGCTCTGGCCCTCATTGATTGACGCATAGTTGGAATTGAAAGACCGAGAAAGAGTGTCGTTGAAATATCAGTTTAGGTTGAATTGGGTGGCAAGCGAATGAAAGGACTGGAACCTGATGATGATGAGAATACTTTTTAGAGGGAATTGATAGATCTTATAAACACATTGAGAGAACATATGGAAACGTTCATCTCACCTTGTCTGTCCCGGATCAAGGCCCAAAATGATATGGCATCAACATCCAAATTAGACCTTACACATCGGCATATACCCTATGGGTACGGTGTGCCCGGTCGTATTAGATAATTTTTGCAACCGAGTTTCTCATCATCTATGGGTCACTCTGTTTTCATAAATCTAGATCTTTTTGTGATATCAACGCTTTTTTTAATGAAATGATTCCAATCATTGTATAAATTTCTGTTAATTGTCTTTATCTCTATATCCTTATATCATTATGGTCTAAAATATCAGGCGCTCATGGACTAAAAATGGTAATAGCTTCGACTTTTTTCAGGATTACAAGCTCCAACTATCTCTCAATCTGAATAGCGCCAATTTAGTATAGTGATGACTTTGTAACAACATGGTAAATTATACATCTTGTGAAGCTCACGAAAATTTGGATTAGACATTTGCGTTCTCCGATAGTTAGCCACTACTTAGCTCTACCGGACGCTAGTACCGGTAGATAATTCTCAGCCTTCTCAATACTACGAAAATTCCCATGATCGTCTGATAGTCATCCAAGAATCATCTCAAATGCATACGTAATACACAGGCTTGGAGATGTCCTACGTACTGCAGAGTCGAAAGACTTTCATTGAAACAAGACCAGCTTTTCCAGGCGAACCACCGGGCTTTACCCCGTTCAGGTACAATAGGGGCGAGCCGTTAGCGCTCCACGTTATCCCTACCACCTGGTGTCCCACAATCTTTAAGCAGAAATTTAGGTCACCAAAGCAATCCTTAAGTTGATTTGAATATACCACAATTACTTCCATTTTTTATTCTAGAAGCTTGGTGCTACGCATGACGACGCGTGTTCATGACGGTAGCTTAGCCGAGAAAATTCGGTCCCGAGTCAATCACATGCGCCAAGATCAGGTTATGGTTCAAGCTTTTCCAAATATACCCACGCCAAAAATTATGCGCCACTACGCTAATTAGAAAAGGGTGTTTTTCCTTATGGCAAACCAGTATAAGGCACGTGCTAGGGTCGGTGTGATTTCGTAAGATCTTACTCGAGACGAGTTATGTTTTAAGGTTATATTTGCCAATGTGCATGCTCGGTTCCGAGATTAGACATACGATATTTTTGGTGATAAAATCCTGGGAAGCTTCCCAGATCCATCTTATCAGTCTCTACTTTTAAGTTATAAGGGTTCTTTCCTGCAATTTTTGAGTACGTTCCATCGATTGAAAATTACTTCCGTAAGAAACTTAGCGAGCCTTACCCTAAATTTCTCATCTACTAAAGGCTTAACCACTTCCACTGCCAATGTTTAAATTGACATCTCAAGGAGCTCTTTCATTATTATTAGGTTCTGCGGATTCCTGCAAACTCTGGTCATCGTTCTAATGGAAGTCATCCCCGAAAATATTGATTGATCGTGGAAGAGATACGAATCATACGGCAGAGTCGTGGCTTTCATAAAATGGTAGGGGCTGTCTGTTCGTCGGTCCGTTTCGCAGACTTCGAGCATGGGTTAACAAGTATTTCAGATATCAGACTTTCTTGCTCCTCGTCCTAATAGTGACCGCCATGTATTTTACTTCAACCTTCCTAGTGTCGGCCACTCATGCCATGAAGGCGTAGCAATATCCTAGCTAAATTCAGCTTTCCATTGTAATAAAAACAACCCCAGAGGGTACATCCGCTGCTTTGAGGCATCAAAGTGGGCTGCAACCACAGCTTCGGATAAATTCTCTTATTCTTTTGCCACTATCGAGTGTGCTTCGCGTAAAGTCGTGTTTGAGCACTAATTAGTTCCATATTCATTGACAACCATTCCATTTCTGTTGTAAGATTAGTTCAACATCAAGACCGAAACTGTTCGCCGTCCAAAATTACTTCTACATTTACCTTACCTAGGCAAGCATTGTTCTGAAGTTGTTTGCAACAAACTCATAGAGAGCGTTATCTAAATAAACACTAGATAAGTCCAATTAGTTGAGACAATGAGGATAAATATACTCGCCTCCTGAGCCCCCCTTGTGATTTCTACTCATTAATCTTTACGTAATATTTGTGATACGATGAAAGTATTTAAGGAGTCAAAAAAGTTAATCGCTGTCTAAGCCAAGCGGCTAAGTAATTACAATCTTCATTCACCGGTTCGAAGTATTATACCAATTGTGAATATTTTCATGCATATGAATCATAGATTTTGAGCTCATGTTCTTGTACTCTTACCGTCAAATACACAACTAGATTACAGTACTTGAGATCCAAGGTGATCAGCAGATTTTATTCATTGTTACAAATAATTTTGCTCCATAATGATTTCGTGTCTTGATCTGACCTTAAATGTTCAAAGAAATTTCCTGTACATACTATATGTTAGTATCATGCGATACCAGTAGACCTTTCCGCATGAAACGATCTACGGCAATGGATATCACAGAGTCCTAGGCAAACTATATATGAAGTATTTCCATTTTGTTATATCCCTCACTTACCTCAATCATGATCAATAGTATGATATTATATATTTATAACCTATCAGATAACGAGTGATAACCTTGACGTCGTTCCGCTAATCGCAGATACTATATTCCAACCATCATTTTCGCCGAATCAACTTTCATCAAACTTCGACAGCCCCTTTTTCCTCCCCTCATCCCTCTCGCTTGATTCATAATTTTATCTTTCCGGAGGGAGATTATGTAATGATGGAGGGAGCCGTACTGGCTAGCGAAGTGCTAGAATTCAATGCCCTTAAGGTTAGAGAATCAATCAAGAATAATAACCTGCGCGAATAGGTTATAATTAAGGGCTTTACACTTCAATATCATCAAGCCGATGTCAACATATTCCATCCCAAATATATCAAAACTAAATTTTGGCTAATCTATCAAAGTAATTAAGCCAACTTTCTTTGCCACAGAAAACCAACGTTTACATTAACATTTCCATATTCAGTATTATACGAATTTATTCAGTGACAATTATTGATTTCTTTCTCACTACCCTTATTGAATGCAATAAGTCTAGTACCCTACTTTTGGACTACCCCTAATATGGACTACCTTTTTACACCAAAAATCGTCATTTTCAATTATTAATAATTCAATAATGAATGAATAGAATCAATTGAAATTTTAATTATAGATTTAATATATAATTATTGATAGATTCTGAAATTTTCAGATTTTTCATGATTTTATTGATTGAGAAATTGAAAGTTGAAATTACGATTTTCAATTTGTACTGGATTTATATACAAATTTGAAAATATTGAAAATCTTGAATAATTTTTCAACAAAAATTGCTAAAAATAAAATAAATTTTTTTTGGGGGATTTTTAAATTAAATATTATATATAATAAATTAGTATTTTGAATTTTAAATAATATAAATAAATATTTATTGATATTTTTAGATTTTGCAAGGACTAAAAATCATAATATTTTGATTAAAAAGATTTTTGTAAAATATTTTTTAAAATAAATTGATTTATTTGATCATTTATGATATAAATATTTGAAAAAAATTTATATTTTATTTTTCATTATTTTTGTTGAAAAGTTATTCAAGATTTTAAAGATTTTGTAAATTTGTATATAAATGTCACGAAATCACTTTATAGAATGTTACAGGATAACAATCAACTGTCACGATTTACGATTAAGATTAGGGTGTGTTGAGAGGCAGCAGTCAACTTGTCCATATGAGCTTAGGCCTTATCGAAAAGCAGGGCGATTTGTATACAAATTTGTATGGTAATCGCCTCATGTGGTCTCCTCACCTTTAACAAGCTCGGACATATAGTCTGATCCTAATCACGTGATAAGGAGCCCTGGGAGCTTCGAAAGCTTTTAGAGCTCCAAGAGCTTTTTGAAGTTTTAGGGCTTTATAGAGTTTCTTTATATTCATTAGTATATAATCAAAATAGTTTTATAGTTTAAGAGCTTCGTGCTCAACTTAGTTATCAATTAGTTTATCTACATTCCAATTGATCTAGTAATGTATTCACCTTCGAGTGGATAATCAGTGATTATTAGCCTTAACCTACAACTACCAACTATACGAAATCTCAGGCAGCCGCTGCCTCGACCAGATCGTTACAGTAAATCCTATACAAATCAAAAATCATAAAATTTAAGGTTATAGATATCAATGAAATTAATTCCAAAAAATCTAAAATTTTCAGAATTGAGTTATAATTATATAATGAATCTACGATTCAAGTTTCATCAAATTTTATTAATTGGTTGTAAAGTTATTAATAAGTGAAAATCACGATTTTTGATGTAAAAAGATAGTCCAAAAAGAGGGTACTAGACTTATATTTCACTTTTTAAAAATAATTTAATTGTTTTAATAGATTTAATATATAAATTTAATAAAATATTATATATAAACCTGTCCTCCTCTCCTCCTCTCCTCCTCTCCTCCTCTCTTTCCCTCTATACCATACAATAAACAACATTCCCCAACATCCCTCAACTTCCCCAATCTAGTCCAATCCAGCCCAGTCCAATCCAATATAATCATTAATCATCACTCATCAATCATCACTCATCAATTATCACTTATCAATCATCACTACTTCACTCACCACTACTTCACTACACATATACGACTCTAAAATCCCAAATCTACAATCCCACCACCAACACACCAATCAACCAACCAACCAAATACATTCATCCTCCCTACCCCCTCCTTCATTCCTTCTCCCTCTTCCCCTCTCCCCCTCTTCCCCCAAACCCCCAAACCCCACACCTCAAACCTCACACCTCAAGCTCCCAGTAGAACAAAAAGAAAAAAAATCATAATATATCAAACAACCAAACAACCAAACAACCAAACAGTCTAGTATATACATACTCTATACAAAGCATCTCCGTACTCCATACTCCATATTCCATACCTCATACTCTGTGCAAATTTTATAGGTGGAGGATAAGGTATTATACGGAGTAATTTTATATTACTCCACCTATACTGCACTGCCTGCACTGCCTGCACGAACGCATAATATATAAATCTTAGTGTATATGCACATATGCACATATGCACACACCTATCTACCTAACTCAGTAGCGATCAATCACTAATCACCAACCACTAATCAGCCGTCTCGTTGTACCCATGTGCCTCGCCATTCTATACATTCTACAAGCGAACTTCTAGTCTTCCGCCTCATTTACACATTTATAGAATTCTATCACATGAGCAACCCAGCCAAAAAAAGTAGTCTCGTTAAAAATATCCCTCAAAAAAAGATCAAAATTCTTTATTAAAAGAGAAAAAACGATTCTTCATTCAATCTACCTACCTACTCTAAAAGTAAATCCATAGCTAGGTAAATTTTTCATCCATGCATGTATGCATACCAATCATGGCATGTGATGGCGTCAATCAACCAACCATCCAACCATCAAATGAATCACCGCTCCACTCAACTCCACATGACACGCGCCCTTAAAACGTCCCTCTCCACCCTGCCTCTCCAATCATCACATCGATCAGCGAACCCGTACTCTCAAACGACTCCACTCATCCGCTATGGTAATATCTCGGACGGAAAATTCGCTTCATCATCAGATGCAAATGCAAATGCAAATGCACACGTGCACAGCCCACCGCGCCATTACAACTAGTAGCAAATGCAAATCGTAAGATCCAGAGCAAGTTTTTCAACCCCACGAGGGCAAAAAACCCAAAACACGGTTATCGAAGTATCCAGAATAACTTAAAAGTCATTCAATTCATTCCACCATATTCTCTTCTCCTGTTCCCTGTCATTGCTTTTGCCACAATCTCATCGCCATTGCCCTTCATCCATACTTTGGAATTCGCGCAAAAGCACATCTCGTCCCTTAAACTTTCCCTCGACCATTAAGAACTCCTAATCAAGCCAAATCATTCCATATCCATCCAGCCATCCATGTGTACCCACCCCATCCATTTAAGGAAAGTCCCATTCCGTCCCATTTCTAATCCCAATGTACAATAACCCACCCAACCATTCTCCCTAAAATGCAAATGGTATAATCGCGGTAAATACCTAAAGTAGTCGCTCTCATAAAAGAATTGAGCCAAAAAAGCAAATGTTGCCATATTGAGCTTTCGCCCTGTCCAATCGTAGCAAGATTTCTTCCTCCAAACGCCGACGCTAAAATTTTAAAAAGAAAGACTCCATGTATAATGTTTGCTATTGTTGTTGGTAATACATTGTCTGTCGGGTATCGTTGAGAACCATATGATGTTGGCCGTAAGTTTAGTTGTTGGTACAAACGTGAAAAAGAAAAAGTAGTTAGGCCATAGATCTCTTGTCGTCATGTTGGTGCAATTATTCCACACTTTCCACAGTTCCTAACCAATTTCGTACTCCTTCCCTCAGAAAGCTTTCTTTCTCTCTCCCCTCTAATCTCTGTTCTCCATCGCCATCTTCTCGGCTCTCTGCTACCTCCTTCACGATCTCTTCAAGAGCACTAAGAACCATCTTCTTGCACTCATTTCTTGGAACTTCAAGATTCGCTCCAAATCCAGGTACAACTCTAGTATCCGAGTTAGATCTATCCCTTCCAACCACAGGTCTCCTACTTGTGGATCTGGATGAACATGCTGAGGATTGTTTAGAAGCTTGTCCTGACTGAGCAATGATTCTCTCAACTGCTTCGATCAATGTTTCATCCATGCTAACCAATTGTTCTTCAATAAATTGATCTTCATGATCATCATACACCTCAAGAGATGGTGTAAGAAGTACGGCAGAGTAAACATTGCCATACTTTGACTCTAGTGAAGTGGAGATGGCTGGAGTTGTAGGATCCGCATTCCCCTTAAGCTTCACATGACGTCTGTAACGAATATGAGTAATTGTGAAATTGGTAGTGTCAGCTACCAACGCACTAGAAACATCAACCCACCGATCAGCACGACCATCTTCGGCATTAGGCGTTGATGTGATGACGGGAGTTGGTTCTGCTCTCATTGATTCTTTGATGTCGGAGATGAGGTCCGATTGCGAAGGTAATGCTTGTAAAGCAAAATCCGGATGATAACGCGGTAGGTAACCACCAACATTGATTGTAGTATCTGAATCAGGACCAGCACGAGAATAATGTTCAAACCCTTCGAGTCCATTTCCTAAACCTGGCGTGGAAAGATAACCACTACTTGATGGTGAACTGACAGCCGTTTCAAAAGCCAAATAGTCAGGAAGTGGAACGTCAATTTCAATGGCACCGTCATCAGCGATTGAAGTTTTGACTGGTGATTCATATGCTCCAGACGGATCTGGTATGCGCTCTGATATCTGAATCGCCTGCTCGGTAATTTCATCGGCTCCTTTCCCTGGCTTTTGTTCAATGGCTCTGGCGGTTTCAGTACTTCCAGATTCCGATTTCCTCAAGTCGCGTTCCTGTTGAACTTTCGACTTTGTTGGGGAAACTTCGGCGGCATTCTCACTCGTACTAGGTAATTTAACACGAGGCTGTGAAGTGATATCTCTGTAGTAAGGATCATTGATTTCAACTTCTTCCATCGATGTAGCTGAGGTGTTAGTCGTAGATGGTCTTCTCTTCGAACTCCAGAAACCACTAAGCATGCTACCCCATCTCGAATTCTGATTCTGGGAATCAGTGCTTACGTTACTGTATTGACCTGAGCTATCACCTCTCTTCAGAGATCGAAGCAGGTCATCAGCAGCAAGACTACCACTGCTTCCCGGCCTAGGTATTGGACCGGTTCCCCTGACTGGGGCTCGAGTAGAGAAATGCGGAACGGTTGTGATTGGTGTGGCGGTCCTTGTTGTTGCGGCACTGCTCTTCCTAGTTCCGCGATCACTACCAGGGATTGGCAAATTTGCAGTCCTGATTTGGGAAATATCGGATGTTGATCGATCACGCTGAACATCGTGGACTATAATTCCAAGACCACTAGGATGTTCTGTTTGAGGTTTGGAAGGCTGTGAGATTTGTGAAGCTTGCGCGGACTGAGCTGGAAAGCTCATAGCTCGCGGGTGAGAGGCTCGTGAAGCACCAGAGCGTTTGTTGATTTTGCGGCGAAGAGATTCTTCTCTCAAGGCGGGTATGATGTAAGATGGCGGAGATTGTGGATATCCACCTAAAGATATCGACGTACTAGGTCGATGAGCCCGAGATCCTAGCTGTTGACTCGCGGGGAGAAAAGCAGAAAGCAAAAATATCAATCGTCTCGCTGCCATTTTATCATCGGAAACAATGATGGTACGTGCCGGTACGGATACATCATCATCTCTGTAAGATCTCTGAGTTTGGTAATGCCTTCGACGATACCAACTAGGTCCCAGCGCTTGCAACCATTCAGTGTGATTACCCAAAAACCCAGTCAAAAGGTTAAAGAAGAAGAATCCCTTATCCTTCCCCCCTGCCCACCTCTCAGCCAACCTTGCTTCTTCACGCCATATGCCCCATCGACCCTGGCCAGTAATCACCTGGAGACCTTTGATACCGCTAATCACCCTCTGACGCGAAGCATCAACCTCTTTATGTATTTTCTGGATCGGTACCAGACAGTCTTGACCTAGCTGGACTAATTTTGCATTGGTCTTGGGTACTTTGAATGGCTTGGCGTCCTCCGTCACTCTCCTTCCAGCGACTGATATACTAGCTGAAGGGGCTCGAGAATTTGATTCGCGACGAGGACCGGGAGAACTGATGTCTGCTTGGCGGAGAAGGCACAACAAGGATTCAGTCGCAACTGCTTGCAAATGAGTAAGTGTTCGCGTAATGATATCCCAATGTTGAGTGATCATGTCGATCCGGTCGTCCACATCACTATAAATTGAGGATTCCAAAGACTCGATGCCAAAACCGGAACCAAGCATCGTCCAACCGGCACGTTTCGTAGAGCTGAAAGATGATGGGAATGAATCTTGTTCGTTGTATGAGCTCGATGCACGGAAAGAAGATCGTGAAGTTGGTGCTGAAGGGGCACGAGGTGGCGAAGCAGGTAGATGAACAATCAATCCGACCGCATACATAGGAGTTCTCTTTTGTTTTGGTTGAGGCTTCTTTAGCGGAGTGTCATTGTCGGCTACTTTAGGAAATGGATAACCATCTTTGTCTTCCTTCAACACTGGTGTTTGAGGCTCGACTTCCTCATTTGGTAGGGGTACCGGAAACATGCGTGTGATGAGAACCTTTTTTCTGTCTTGCCCCCTCGTAGATGTGGCTGTCGAAGGACCAGCTGGAGCCGGAGCAGGACCTGCACCATTTTCCACGGTGAAAGATTGTGCCAACTTACTACTCCGCATACTTGATCTACCGAAAGATCCATCCCCAGCATAAGAACTAGGTCCTACAAAGGATCTAGAGTCGGATGGCAATATGTGAACCTTTGTACCAGTCCCTTTGTATGCTAAAACTTCGGAATTTCCAAATATGCAATTCGAAATCGTGGTAACTTCTTCCTTGTATTCCCTCAGCGAACGCTGTCCTTCAGTTTCTGTATAACTTGCTTGTGATTTATGTGCTGATCTTCGGTCAAATGCGCCGAAAGCTCGAGGAGTTGTACTTTCCTGTTGTATAACGACAGGTCTCGAATTTTGTCCTACAGATGTCTTTCGTGGTGGAGGCATCGATCGCCGATTTTCGGACCTCGTAGGGAACGCAGAATTATTCGAGTTTTGTCTTTCAGGAAAGGGAGAGGCTAGCGGAGGGGTGTGACTATCGTATAATACGTATGGAGTTCCTGTAGTTGAAGTAGCTTCCTGCATAATAATTACTCGCACATCGCGCATGTCCAGATCGATTTCTCCATTGATATCAAAAGTATTCGCGTTCGCAGGCGCAAGTGCGGTTCCAGATGAGAATGGGAAGAGTTGGTCCTTGTGACACAAAGCGTCGGCATCTGGGAAGAGTAAATTGTAGGTAAAATGATCCTCCAGATTTGAATCAAGAAGGTTGGAAGAGCGTGGAGTCGTCTGTCCAGTAGATGTCGTCGCGGAGAATAATTTCCCAAGTAAAGACATCTTGATAGATGTATTATTATTTTAGTCTAAGTTGTTATTTTATCTTTCGGAATCGGTCTGTCGACTTTGAGGATTGGGAGGTGTTGCGATCGTTTAGCAGCACGCATGACGATACTGCTGCTTCGGAATGGCCATTGTCGCGACGGAAAGAATGACTGGGATTTTGTAATTTGAATCGTGTGTATTAATTCCGTATAGGGTGACGCGAAAGGAAGAAGAATGCAATTGGGGAATATTCAGCCGAATGAGTAGAAATGATGGGAGTTTTGGTGGTAATTGAGGTAGGTGATTGACGTAGGTAGTAGATTTCGATGTGATGTAAGTGATGGGAATTGGAGTGAAGTGAATCGACCCAATTGGTGTGATGGTTGATGAGTAATGTTGCACTTCAGGCAAAGGTTTAAGTGAGGCAGTAAGTAGGTGAATAGGTAATGAATCTTTGATTATCTCTTTCCAAATATGATCAGATCGATAATTCGAAAAGAAGAAGAAAGATGGAGAGTAGAATGGTCGAGTAGCGTAGAGTAGAGTAGAGTATAAGTATAATTGAATGAATACCCTAGTACCCTAATACCCAAATACCTATGAAAGGTTGAAGGTATGAAGGTATGAAGGTGTGAAGGGACAGACAGAAAAGACTCAAAAGAGTTGAAGATTTGATGGATGGATGGATGGATGGATGATGGATGGGTTAGTTATTTACTTTCGTTACTTCCCTGGAAAAGACGTTTTGTAATAATATGTATGGGGTGATTCTCGGCCTGGATTCCGGCGGGAGGATTCTTTCTTTTAGTACTCTGTATTATTCACTAGGTCACTAATTAAGCTACACCCATCAAAGTTCCCACTTTTTACTCCCTGGTAGATCGACCCAACTCTGTGAGATGTGAAATACCCTAGTAATATTATATATATATTATGATGTTATGATGTTATGATGTTATGATGTACTGGACAGTCACTCCGTTGATTATTTATAATCTTGTAGCGGCTGCCAGTCATGACATGCTTGCGGATAAACGCTTGGTAGTAGGTAGTAGGTAGTAGGGAAGCTTCAATACTTTTGATTGGATTCCGGTGACTACCTAGGTATTTGGATCAAGTTTCAACCTTTCAGCAGGTTACTACTGACAGCTCTATCACCACTTGCCAACTTCACCCCATCCTATTCTCTTCTCTTCTCTCCTCTTCTCTCCTCTTCTCTCCTCTTCACCCATTCCCTCTCTATGTCTGCCGATGGAATAAGCGGTCAAGCATTTCAACAATCAAAGATTGGACACTACAGAGAAAAACAGATCTCAATCTTGATAACTAGATCACCAATCCGGCCTTGAGCATTTCCAATGTTTCTAGGATTTTCCTTGATATATCTGTGCATCTGCCATCCACATCCCAAGACTCTTTTTCTTTTCCCTCTGACTGACTCCGTACACGTCCCCCATCTTAAATATCCATTATTGTAAAGAGAATAAAAATAATATTCCTCGAATATCCTCGTTTTTATTCCGTATTCTTATTCCTCCGTAGCTTCCCTTTCCTTGTCTTGGATGGCTTGTCCTTGTACGTGCTGCTGCATCGTGCACTGGCTTTTCCTTGGTAACGCATTCTTGCATTTTTAATACCTAAGCTTTGATGCTTAGTTCTGCAAGTGATATCCATCTCATGATCTCTTATCCGCCAGCTCTGTGAGATTTCTCCCTCGTATGGTTACATTCAATATTCCAAAATACTTGACCATGGCAATACAACTGATATTTCATGCATAAGAAGACGGATAGAATTCCCCACTTCCATACTCACATTCCTCGGTTCCCGTCATCATAATAATGTATGTATCAGTCAGTGATCACACTTCACCTTGAGGAAATTACTTGACTTTCTCAAATTAAAACACACATATCGATACGAAAAAGAGCAGGGAACGTTGAGAGAAATACCCTCGCACATTACGAGTTAGTCCACCCGTTTACTTACTAGATTATGAATGCACAAGTACACAAGTTACGGTTAGTGTCGTAAGTAGTTAGTTCTTCCCTCTCGTTCCTCACCACCAGCTAAAACGCCTTTAAGATCAAAAACCCCATCTCAACAACCATCCATGAGTCTTGAATCTTGAATCTTGAGTCCATGACGGTCCGGAAAGGAAGTGGATAACAAGCTTTGAATAAATTGAAATGGACAAAATCACTAGCCGCCAATGTACGGAGTAGCCTCCACGGCCACGCTGAAAAAGAAGATGATGTGGAGGATTTCCCCGAACAACCATCGACATTTAAAATGGAACTATTTGCTAACACATTCTACATCGATGGAGCTGATTTCCTCAAACAAATCAATCACCGAAAGAGGATGACCAATGGCCAGTCACAAGCATTACATTGTAGAATCATTACGAGAGACGTTACAGAAAAGTGGTTAGAATGGTTAGAGTCGTTACAATTACAGAGTGTTTAGACCTCTAGCCTCTAGGTCAGTCAGTATTAGGAAGGTCAGCCAAGAGATCATTTCCTTCCTCAACCTTCTTTTTGTCGGCCCTTTAAATTCCATACATCCTAGGTGAGATAGCAAATAACATACTAAATAACTTAGTCCAGCCTCAGCCGTATATAGATGATGCTTAATTCTTTAACACCGACCCACCCCAGCGAATATCTCGGAGATCTTCTAGAGGAGGAGACGGAAGAGTGAGGATGACTTACCATACCAGTCTTGCCTTACCTAGTACTGCATACGGACTTCATGTGTCGTGTTGTGTTGTTCTCGGATCCATTCATCATCTTATCGAATCTCTATCGATAATGATAGGTGCACCAGATATCTATCTTCAATCTCCATCATCCATCTAGGGACGGAGGATCCTATCTCTCTACCTACCATCTACGTCTGCCACCTGCCACATTCCAAATATCTACTACAACAACAACAACAATAAGAAGAACACCAACGTCATCTTCTTCTTCATACTACTCGGCTAGTTACGTAGTACCTCAAACGACATAATTCTGACTCACTTTTACTGGGTTTTTCTTCTTCTTTTGATACCCGGGGAAGGTAAAAACTGCATGCACACCAAATGCACATCAAATGCATACTCCGTAAATATGGAGTTACAGGGCTAAGATAACACGAATCATATTCCTCATCATCATTTTCCATCTCTCGCTATCTAAACATCTTACCACCAGTTCTTATCAATCCAGCAAATAAATAAATAAATACCAAAACAATCCAACAAACAGCCATCAAACAAAGCAATCCCCATATCCCAGAATTCCCATCCCAAGCCTACATGCATGTAGTATAACCCATCCTATCACATCCACCAGTAAGGCCCACCAGTAAGGTTAACCAAGATCCCTTCGATTTTTACATTACATGATTCACATCTGTACCTAATCCAAGTAATTAATTCATTGTTAAGTTTATTTCCAAATACAATAAATATATTATCAAAATACAATATAAGACTTATATATACAAATATGTTTTATATAGTTTATTATATTATAATATTAAAATATTAAATCTAAGATTATATATTCATTTTCATTTTCTATATAAAGTATCTATATTCCTCTCACTTTTATCTCCATATTAAATCTTATCGATATCATAACTCAATACATCCATCATCCACCGTCCAATAAACTATCTATCCATGACAAGTCACCACAATTCATTATATACCCCCACATCTCGAAGCCTCACTTTTACTTCATCTTAATCCCTACTCTCTAATCCCTAATCGATATCTCCTACCCCTCCTTCTGAATCATATCATTCATTGGGTATCGATACCATAGCCATTCAACTTCTAACCTATGCTCCCTACACCGCTAAAAGCCAAAAGCCTTAAAGTCTTAAAGCCTTCAGAGAACAACATCAGTGAAATGAAATGAGATGAGTAGATAGATTATTTCAAGTTTTAAGTTTTGAGTTTTGAACTAGAATCTAAAAAAGATATAGTCTTTTGATGTTTAGGTTTTAATAGTGTATTAGTATTTAGAATCTTTATATTTGTATATATATATATATAAATATATATATCTGTTACAAGGTAACAGTCAACCTGTCCATATGAGCTTAGGCCTCATCAAAAAGCAAGGCGATTTGTATACAAATTTGTATAATAATCATCTTATATGATCTCCCTGTTCTCAACAAGCTTGGATATATAATCTGATCCTAAAGATTATATGATGAACCCTACATATATAAGGATATGAATTGTAAATCTATACAAATCAAAGATCTATATGAATTGTAAGTCTATACGAATCGAAGGTTTATACGAATCATAGATCTATATAAATTATAGATCTATACAAATTGTAGGTTTATACAAATTTATAGGATATAAAGATTTATATAAATCAAAAAGATTTCATATATATAGGAGCTTTGTATTCAAAATCAATTATTTAGTATAATTTATTATTAATTATAAATTGTAATTATTGATATTATTTTAAAGTTTTTATTTGATATTTAATTATAAATTATTCAAGGATTCAGACTATTTTTATATAATTTAGATTACATCCTTTGTAATATTTTGAGTATTATTATTATTTTAAATATCAATTCGATAAAGTAATATTATATCTTTTCAAACTCTTTAATCTAATAATTCAATTTCAATTATTTCAAAAGATATAGATTAAGATAAAGATATCGCTATAAAAGGAGTAGAGGATCTTAAAAAGATTATTATTATTGAAATCCTCAAAGTCGCTTTACCCGACAAGTTTATAGATTATCGATAAGAATTAGAAATCTTCTTATTCCAATTTAAAATCTATTTTGAATTCAATAAGGATAAGTTTTATTATGATATTGATAAAAGCATTTAGATAGCCTTTTATTTTAGAGAAGAAGTTTCCAAATGAATTCAATCTTATCTTAAAGATTACTTTATTTATTTGAATGATTTTAAGAAACGAATATATTTAATACAAATCATTTTTGAGATGTTTGTAGAATTCAAAAAGGAAATATAATAAGTATTCGGAAATATCAATGAATTATGTGATATTGAATCCAAGATCTATAATTTTAAGTAAATAGGGTCAATAATGAAATATATTATGGAATTTAGATGATATATAAATACTATAGAATAGAAAGAGAATATTATAATGAATTATTATAGAAAAGAATTCAAGATAAAGATCAGGTTAGAATTGAATTATAATTGTATTTAAAAAGATCTGAACGAATTAATCAAGGAATCAATCAAAATGAATAAAATGCTTTATAAATATCAAAAGAAATATCAATCCTTTAACTTTTATAGAAATCGAGATTATAATAAGTATTATAAGAATAAAGGAAAATCTCAAAATTATCAATAATTATATAAGGATCCAATACAATTGGATACAATTTTCAAAAATAAGTTATTTAAAGAAAAGATAGATCGAAAACAAAAGAATAAATTATATTTTAAATATAACAAATTGGATTATTAATTCAAAAATTATTGAAATAAGAAACTATAAGGTTAAAAAGGTTATTATAAAAAAACCAAATTCGGAAAATATTAATTCAATATTATCTTTATATTATTATTATCTACCCTTAATATAATCAAAAACGATAATTACAAACAAGAACAATATCAAAAGGAAATCGATATAATATTTCAAGATCAGAAAGGCTTGAACGAAATAGATCGATATAAATTGGAATATCTCCGAA